TCTCCACCCTAGTTTTGCAACTTCTCTGTTTATTTATTTATTTATTTGAGAGCGAGAGAGAATTTTAATATTTATTTTTTAGTTTTCGGCAGACACAACATCTTTGTTTGTATGTGGTGCTGAGGATCGAACCCGGGCCGCACGCATGCCAGGTGAGCGCGCTACCGCTTGAGCCACATCTCCAGCCCCTTCTCTGTATATTTAAATGATGTCAAAATCAAAACTTTATTTGAAGTTGGGCACAGTGGCACACACCTGTCATCCCAGCGGCTCTGGAGGCTGAGGCAGGAGGATCCTGAGTTCAAAGCCAGCCTCAGCCACAGCGAGGCCCTAAGCAGCTCAGTGAGACCCTGTCTCTAAATAAAATACAGAATAGGGCTGGGGGTGGGGCTCAGGGGTCAAGGGCCCCAGAGTTCAATCCCTGGTGCCAAAAAAAAAAAAAACAAAAAAACCCAAAAACAAACACACACTTTTGTTTAAAAAATTTCAATACCAGTGAACTGATTTTTTTTCTCCTAGGAGGGAAGAGATGGGAGCCTGGAGCACTTAAACTTCTTTCAAACAAGATAAAACTTGTTTCCTTTGCTGCTTTTAAACTTGGAAATAAAGAATAGTTACCAGCAATAGAGTGTGTGCTTCTTAAAAAGACAAAACCCAGCACAGAGCCATTTGAAGCTCTGGTCCTTGCCAAGTGGAGGAGAGAGACAGAGTGACGTCTTCGCAGTTTTCAGGTGAAACTTTTCTATTTGTCGTCGTGCCATTTAGTCCCTGTTTGATTGACTGTACAAGTGACCTGCTGCATTTTGCAGAAACCAGAGGTGGATTGAATTTCTTAGAACCCTAATATGCACAAGGGAACTGCAGGAAGTGTCGCAACATTTTCCAGAAAGGGGTTAGCAGCCACAAGACTGAGGAGAGTGTCTGTCCATATGAGCAGGAGGATTTCTTGCCCGTACACCAGCCATCTCAATGTTACTAAATGGTTCCTAAAGGTCCTTCTTTAAGAAATGCTAAGTCTGGAGATGTAGTTCAGGGGTAGAGAACTTGTCTAATAGGGATAAGGCCCTGGGTTGCATCCCCAGCACTTCAAAGAAAAATAAAATTAGATACTGCTGGGCATGGTGGCACGGGTCTGTAACTCCAATGACTCAGGAGAATTGCAAGTTTGAGACCAGCCTCAGCTACGTAGTGAAATCCTATCTCAATTAAAAAGTTAAAAGGACTGGAGATGTAGCTCAGCAGTAAAGTGCCCCTGGTTCGTCCCCAGTATCAATCAATCAATCAGTCAATAAAAACATACTAATAAAATTAAACACAGTAGCCCCAGCAGCTTGGGAGGCTGAGGCAGGAGGATCAAGAGTTCAAAGCCAGCCTCAGCAAAAGTGAGGTCCTAAGCAGCTCAGCGAGAGCCTGTCTCTAAATAATATGCAAAATAGAGCTGGGGATGTGCCTCAGTTGTTGAGGGCTCCTGAGTTCAATCCCCAATACCAAAATATAAAATAAAATAAAATAATTGGGGCTGGGGATACAGCTCTGTTGGTAGTGCTTGCCTTACATGCACAAGGCCCTGGGTTCAATCCTCAGCACCACAAATATTTAAATAAAATAATTAAACACAGTAGAATCACTAGTCCAAAATGACTTTGTCCATTTACAGAAGGTAATGAGGTCCTAGGCAGCTAATCGGTTTCTGCATTTGTGGTACTTGTACCCTGATCATTTAAACGATGATGACATCAAGGGAACGGGAAGTGAAAGGAGCATGTTCAGCACTTCCCGCAAGATCAAGACCCAACTTTCATTCCAGGAGGGAAACAAAAACACCCACCCAGAATTTGCCCTTCGCTCTCTTCTGGATCATTTAAGAGTTTTTTTTTTTTTTTCTTTCTTTCTTTCTCTGTAAGATGTTGCTCTAAACGTTTTCCTCTCTTTTTCCATTTCAATGGGTACATTTAGATCCAGGAACAGTGTGACATGTCCCTACTAGAATCTGCCTCTTCACGAAAGCCTGGGAATGGATAAAACGCGACTCCAAGCAAAAGCGCGGGACACGTGAGCCTTTAACAGTGAATGTCAAAATCAGGGCCCTGGGCTGGGCACTGAGGCATACGCCTGTCCTCCCAGCTACTGAGAGGTTAAGGAGGAGCACTGCTCTAACCCAGGAGCCTGGGGAAAGTCTGGGCAATGCAGTGAGAGCTTGTCTCAAGACGACGCGGTGGCACACGCCTGTCATCCCCATTAGCTTGAGAGCATCGGCGCCCTTCACCTACACCACTGGTCTTTTGAGTGGGTCTTCTGAGCCCTGGTTTAGCTGGTCGATGGCTTCTGGGTTTTCAGACACATCAAAGATGACTGCAGTAGCTCCCCGCTGCACTGCTCGCTTGGCCTTGCCCAGGACAGTGAGGCATGGTTTGGGGTCCAATTCTGGCTGTTCCAGCTTCACCACTCCTACCCAGCCATACTCATACAAGTCCTCTTCATCATTGTTATTACACAGGCCCAGTGGGTGCATCTGCACCATCTCGCCCTCCGCGCTGAGCGTGGCCCCCGCACGCGAGAAGCGGCCCGTGAGGCCGGTGGTGTAGGTGGTGTAGTCGCCGCTCGGGTTCCACTCGAACAGCACCGCCTCCACGAACGCCGTCTCCTTGGCCCGCGCCGCGCCGGGCCCCGTGGCCGCCAGCAGCAGCCCGAGCAGCAGCGGCAGTGGCGGCGGTGGCGGCAGGCGGTGGCCGCGGGGGCGGCGGCGGCCCGGGGCCCCTGGGCGCCCGCCTGAGCGCGGCCTCATGGTCCTGCGGCGGGAGGGCGGACGGCGGGCGCGGCCGGGCATAGTCGCGGGCCGGCGGAGGACCGAGCTAGGGCGGACGCCTCACAGCCCCATCGCGGCGGCAGCGGCTTTGTGGGTCGCAGGCTCCACTCGGTTTCTCCGGCCGACGCCCCGCGGCCCTTTCATCTGCTCCACGTGAGGGGTTATCCCCGCCCCGGCAGCGTGGTGACCCGCTCTCCCCTCCCTCCCCGCGCTCGGCCCTTGGCTTTGAAT